CAGGACCCCGGGATCATGACCCGAGCCGAAGGCAGATGCTTAATGACTGAGCCACCCAGGTGCCCCTAAAATCCCTGTTTTTATTAGGAACTTCTGTTAGTAGTATCTGTTTAACTTCCTTAAAAGGCATTTCATCTTTTGTTAATATAGTTATATATTTTACATTTAATTTTTTGGTGTTACAAATTATCAACACCCTTCAGAGCTTGGTTTTTGTAATATAGGGCTTCTCAGAAAGTTTTTGTGACCTACATCCTGGCTTATGGTTGTGTTTTGGATAGATGTTGTTAGATGAGTTCTGGACTTACTATTTTATTTAGAAAGATGGGTCGGGAAAGGAGAGGCATGGGACCAAGCAGAATCCCAAATAATAGCTTTGTCTAATATTTCAGGGCACTAAAAAATTAAATACAGTTGACCCTTGAAAAACTCAGGGGTTTGGGGCACTGACCCCCCATGTAGTCAAAAATCACAGGTAACTTTGTCTCCCCCAAAACTGTTTAGGAAGCCTTCCTGATAATATAGACAGTCAATTAGCACATGTTTTGTATGTGATATGTATCATATACTGTATTCTTACAATAAAGTGAGCTGGAGAAAAGAAAATGTTAAGAGAATCATAAGGAAGACAAAATATATTCACAGTACCGCATGTATCAAAAAAAGTCTGCATGCAAGTGACCTTGTACAGTCCAAACCCGTGTTATTCGAGGATCAGATGTATAATTGTTTTTCTTGTCCTCTCACAGTTTAAGTCTCAAACTTGAGGCAACACAGAAAACAACAAACATGTAAGGCAAGCTTATACTTACCGGATTTAGAATGCAGGGAAGGAGAGTAACAGCTGATTTCCAGGTGAATTTCAGATTAAGGCAAGGAGGGCAAGGAGCCAGAGAAAGACACAGGGAAGTGAAGAGGAAACTTCTTCTTGAGTCATTGTTCTGATAACTATTGTTTTGCCAGTGAACCGACGACATGATTTCTGTTTTCAATTATACCATCCCCATCTGGGTTCTAGACACACACACACACACACACACACACACACACGCACACACTGACAACGTGCACAGTCATCACTACGATAGGGAAAAATGAGTAGCTATGGGGCAGTTTGTGGCAGGAGGTGTGGTGAAGGCAGCTTTGAGGGCCTGGGGTCTTGGCGTTTCCCTGTTTTGAGAAGTCAGCGGAACTCGATCCCTGAGGTTAGACCAGAGCACTGCTCCCCGAAGGAGCAGGTAACACCCCAGGCAGCTGCGAGCAAAGCATTCCCAGGATGTGGGGACGGCCCTCCCAGCCAGAGTGAAGACAGGACAAACAAAACAGACACCTTGTAGGCAGGCAGAGCAGCTCATGGGACGCCCAAATAACAGTCTTGGGGGTTTGTGGAAAGGTTGAGAGGACGTTGTGGTGGGGAAATGTAATGTGGCACGGTCAAGCAAGAGGGAAGAGAGGGTGGTTTCCAGAGCCTCACAGAAATTCCTCTGAAGGGGTTAACAGAGTGTTCTTCATGCTAATGGGTTGCCATGGAATTGCTCAGGCCTTTGGGGTGCAGGCACGGTAACTGGTGCTCCCTAAGAGTGAGCTGGAGGGAGAGATCTGTGCCTCAGGCATGCTCCCTGTTAAGGCGAAGGCAGGACGGTCTGGCCATGCCTGTGTTCCATAGAACCTGCAAGTGAAAAAGGAATGAGGGTCAAAGGAGGTAAAGTGAGACCTGACAGACAGGAACTGGGGGGATGCAGCATTGGTCTCCAATGGGGGAACTTTCCTGAATCTAGGATTGTGGAAAAGTTGGCTATTTTCCAGTGCTTTTTCTGTTTCCCCCAGAGCAGCAGTTCCAGATGCTTGAAAGGCAGGCAGCAGATCCATCGAGCCCAGGTTTAATGAGGAATGTGATTCTTTCACACTAAATCATGGTTTGTTTGGCCCATTTATTCCAGGCACCGTGGGGAGGGACATGCTCAAAAGGACCAGGGAGAAAGGAACTGCCACCCTTTGTATGCTAACTTCCTTCCCTTTCCATCCGTTTGTAATAAGATACAACATAATAATCGAAATGGTATTAAAACAAGCCAGTGACCCTCATTGGTTTGGGAATTGGTGTCATATTTTATTATCTCTACTTAAAGCTTATCCATTTTTTTCTAATTCCAGAGCATTATTCAAAAACAAAAATAAAAAAATAATAAAAACAAACAAACAAAAAATATGTGTGTGTGCATATATATATATATATTTCCACTGCAGCTGATATTTTTTGCTCTATCTTTAATAGCCTCTCTGCCTTCTCTCGTAAGAAAATCTATTACCTCTTTTACTAATTCCTAGGATAGCTTTTTTGTTGTTGTTCTGCCTGGGACCACATAAACAACATTAAGGGCTTAAAATTCACTGAGAAATAACGCTCTTTTGGATAAAGGGGCCAAAAAGGGAGATAAGTCTGTTAGACAAAGACTTTTAACTCTGCTAACCTGAAAGGTATAAGCTACTTTACAATTACTGTTGTTTTTTTTTTAAGATTTTTTGCTTTTTATTTATTTGAGAGAGAGAGAGATAGTGCATGTGTAAGAGAGAGAGCATGAGCTCGGGGTGGAGGGCAGAGGAAGAGAGAGGGAGAAGCAGACTCCCCGCTGAGCAGGGAGCCCAACGCAAGACTCGATCCCAGGACTCTGAGATCATGACCTGAGCGAAAGGCAGATGCTTAACCAACTGAGCCACCCAGGCACCCCTGCTTTTATTTTTGAGATGGAAAAAGTCTATTTCTAGAAAGATATCTTACCACCTTGGTTTGGTAGATGGAAGTAGACATCACTATTATTAACAGGATTTTCTTACATATGCAACTCTGATGAAAAGGAAATGAGAATATGAATCAAGCTTTATGCACTGGCTACTTTATAAGGGAAATTCAAATGGCTTTTTGCCATTTATAATACAAACTAGTAGTATGTTTTATTATAGGTTCGAAAGGTAAATGTGGGTCAGGACCAGCTATTATGGATTTTGTTTTCCCAAAGAAAAGGAAGTCTCTGCCAAGATAGGATAAAATAGACACTCTGCTTGCCTGTCATTTGGCAGCAGACATTTTTCCAGGCTTCCGATCTATACTCGGTTCACCCACTTTTAGAGCCAAGCTTTTTACTAAGTTGAAATCGTGGATCCCAAAGCTTAACAGTTGGGTTTGTTTTCAAATCCATACGAGAGAGAAAGCAATGTTATTTTACCTTGTTTATCGTTTCCTTTTTGGTACTGAATCACGAGAAGATCTGGACAGACAGGCTGCAAAGATCTTACCAGCCTTCAGCAGAGCCATGACCAGGCCCAATGATTATACCTCAGTATTTCTTTCTCTAAAGTTCACATCTTTAAGGAATAAACTAAGTGACTTGGCTTATTTAGACTTCTTACAAGTTAAAAATAGAGTGCCTTTTAAAAATACTCTGGTCTAAAAATAGGTCTACTCCTGTGTAATTTTAAAGCACACATCTGATTTTATACTAAATGGTAGGTGGCTACTACAGAACTTTGCTAATGGTTTGTTGAGCAGTTGACTTGAACATTTTGCCTATTGACAAACGCATGTAAAGATGTCTTAAGCATCGGGTGGAACCGAGTTTACAAGAAGCCCCTTCCCTTGTCTCTATCACATTAACTATATACTAGAGCCAGGGTTAACCAGGGAAGAGTCAAAGGGATCTCAAGATTTAGCTTCTCCATTTAAATAGAATCCCATCCAAACTTGGTATTGTTACTAATCACACCCTATTATTAAAAATATGCAAAGCCTTGTGGAAAATGTTTGCTTTTTAGCCCCTTTGCTACTGCCTTTAGGTATCCTTGAATTCATTATTATGCGCTTGCTGCTTGCATTATACTGAGTTGAAAAAATGCAGTGCTGACCTACATTTCCGACCATGAGTCTGGCGTGACTCGAGAGCCACATGGAAAGTGTCTGCTGATTCCTACCCACAAATTGTATCGTACTTATGGCAGGCGCTCTGCTAGACGAGACCCTGTCTCCCTCTCCTTTGGCAGGAAGTGCTCCTTCTGTTGCAGGAGGCTCCGTGAAGTCACCTTGCCAGGTCAAAGAAACTTGGCTGGCCTGACAACTGGTCATGCATTCTATGGAGTGATGATAATTTTCTCTTCACCATCACGGTTCCTTCCAGCCGCTTAGCTGCACACCTGATCCAACTTATCCAGAGCCTGTCCTGGCTCCGGGACCAGACTCTAATGTCATTTTTTAAAAGATAACGTGAATTTTTGAGACCTGATATTTTTTCCTTGCCATTTGTCAGCCCTTCTTATAAACAGAGGACAGTATCCCCCTTAATAAAAATGCTGTGCTAGGAAACTCCACGTGTCCACACACCCCCTGACAAGAGTTCCCCAGGTGGAATTGAAGAAACCTGATTGCAATAGTTCTGACTTCTCAGATCTAAAGAGGACTTTGTTTATTAAATACAGAACTTTCTAAATGAGGAGCAATTTTTGCCGTTCAGCTTTGAAAAGAGCAGACACGTGGCTGAGATTAAATATTCAAGTCACCATGAAAGCCAAGAGAATTAACATTGTTGGAAATTTGCTACGAAGTTTTCTCTTTGAAACAGGGAAAGCGTGTATTTTAATTTCCTCATTTGGGCCATCACTCCTCTCCCTTTTCTGGTATCTCCTGGTATCTTTCTGGTATGTATGTACGAGCATGGATGTATACCCTTGGCAAGCAAAGCACTAGGTGTAAAACGTGCTTCCTGTGCCAAGCCCATAATTTTATTTGGTTTTGTTTTTGTTATTCCTTTGAACAGGTCATACTGCCATTACTATTGCCTATAGCCAGAGTGATTCAGAGTACTGCTTTTATACCCGTCAATGGGACCATCACTAAGAAATACAGTCAATGCCAAAAACACTTCCAGTTTATACATCGCAAAGCCTATCTGAATGGACTGCGTGTTTGTACATGACATTACCTAATCTATCTTCTGCTCCCGCTCCCTGCGTGGTAGGTGCCAGGACGAGTGCCGTGTTGGCACATACGGAGTTCGCTGTGCTGAGACCTGCCAGTGTGTCAACGGAGGGAAATGCTATCACGTGAGCGGCTCATGCCTCTGCGAAGCGGGTTTTGCTGGTGAGCACTGTGAGGCACGCCTGTGTCCAGAAGGGCTCTACGGCATCAGATGTGACAAGCGGTGTCCCTGCCACCTGGACAACACTCATAGGTGAGGGTTGGCCACCTTGGAAGGATGTGCCCTGTTAAAGTTTGAACGGCAGTGTCCACTGTTTGGAAGGACGGATTGCCAGACAGATGCCCGCCCTGAGAGCCTTCCTGCCTCTGGGCCGTCCTGGGGAGGAACCACCAAGTCCATGGACAACTTCTTTCTATTCTCGATGAATGGTCACTGCCAAACATTAAATTTGCTGGGGTTAGTAGAACATTGCCCTAAGAGAGGGATCTGTGGCATTCCCTTAGAAGCAAAGATACAGTGAGAGACATGAGTTAAGCCCAGTTTAGTGTGTGAAAATATCACAAAAACAATTCTCACTGCAGCATCTTTTTTTTTTTTTTTAAAGGTTTTATTTATTTATTTGAGAGAGAGAATGAGAGACAGAGAGCATGAGAGGGAGGAGGGTCAGAGGGAGAAGCAGACTCCCTGCTGAGCAGGGAGCCCGATGCGGGACTCGATCCCGAGACTCCGGGATCATGACCTGAGCCGAAGGCAGTCGCTCAACCAACTGAGCCACCCAGGCGCCCCTCACTGCAGCATCTTTGACTTGACAGCACATCTGTGTAGAAAGGAAGTGTACTGGTGGAAGTTTTATATAAGGGTTTCACATGTGGCTGTCACATGTGAAATATGTTTTCAAAATTGATTACTCTGACATAAAACTCACGGGGGTCTTTTAGCCCAAAAATCTCTCAAAGAATTTAAGAACAGGAAACCATGGTCCCCACCCACCCTACTGTACCTTGTCTGTCCCTGAAAATACCTTTCCACCCCCCCTCCTTCCTCTCTCTCCCCGAAGGACCAGATACATATCACTTAGAATTCTGGGCGCCATTTGCAGACTCCTGGAAAAGTTGGGTCTGGCAAAAATGTAGTGCATTGTGTCACAGTTCACATGTTACAAGAATTACTTAATTGCATTCAGCACAGCTGTTAAAATCATTTATGCTTCTGAAAGATAACTTGTGGCCCCTTCAAATCCTCAAAAGCACAAAAGTTAAATGTAAGCAAAAGCCTGTGGTTGGTCTCTTCTTTAAGCCATCTTTAGGAACAAAAAAAACGGACTTTGTACCATGAGAGGGTGTGTGTGTGTGTGTGTGTGTGTGTGTGTGTCTTAGTGTGCATGCATGCATACTTGGAATACATTTTACCGGGATATATCAAAGAAGTGCATTCTTAATGTATCTCAAGCAACTTTGCAAAGCTGCTTTAATCAACTTTGGTTTTCTTCATTGGAAAATATTGTCACTCTTTACATGACAAGGTTAAGTAAACCTTTGGGGAGTGAAAATGAATCATCTCTGCAGGGTTTTGTTTGTTTTTCAACTCTCCGACGTTTAAGGAGCTGGCAGGATTAGGAACAAGTCATGAGTTTGGCTACTTTTCCTGTGGTGTTTAAGGCCTGTCCCAGCAAAAGGTAAGCCTCGTGTAGTGACAGCCAAGAACTTTTTAATATCAGAGTGCTGTTTCATTGTATGCAGCCTCACAGCAAATAGATGAATAAACCTATGCAAAGGAGTTGTGTTACGAGAAGAATTGGAGACACAGAGAGAATCTTGGTTGGAATTATGTACCATGTTCATAGTGGCAAGGTCCCCGTGGACAGCTATTTGACTGGCATCAATACTATGATAATTTTGACGTAGGTCACATGTATGTAAGCATGTATGCTTTACCGAAGAGGTACGGGAAATTGACAATCACATAGATCAAAAGAACACTAAAATCTGTCTAATAATGTATAACAAATAATCAGATTAAAACCAATTGACCTAGGAAGTGCTTCCCTGAAAGTTCATTTTTAAAAAGTAGCTTTTGCAAATAAATAAATAAATAAAATTTAAAAATTAAAAAATAAAAATTAGCTTTGCAAATTTCTTCTAAAACCAGTTCAGTGTTGATGATATGACTCTGTCTTGTTGAATTCACAATCGGAGCCATCCACCTGATTCTTGTACCTTAAACTTCAATGTGAAGTTCCTAGAAACACAAGATTCCTTTGAACCAAAAGGCATAGAATCTTTGTATTAATTGAAAAATACAGCTTGTTCATTTTACCATTTAATCGAGCAAGTGGAGATTTCTATTATGTAATTCATGATGTGTTTTTATCCTAAAACCTTTCATTTTAATTACTGAGATAACTTATGCAATGCAGACTATTAGTTTATATTGTCTTTAGGTAAACGTTGAGTTATATGAATGTACATATTGACGTATTTTGCAGCCACATAGCTGGGTTATGGGTTTGTATCCGTTAGCTTTTGCTGCATTAAAAAAAAAAAAAACCCACTGCAAACAGTGGTATAAGACAATGATTATTTATTAGCAGTTGGTTTTTTGCTTCACTAAGCTTGGTAGTTCTTCTGCTTTCCTCCCTGTATTCAGCTAGCAGATCAGCTAGAGGTAGATGGGTTCTAGAATTCCTCCCTCACTTGTCCAGCATCTGGCTGGTTGATGGGTGCCTGAACCACATGCCTTTAGCAGCTAGCACATTAGCCTGGGCTTCTTGTCATGATGACTGGCTTCCAAAAGCAGCAAGAAACGGAGAAAACGCCGACATGCAAACATGTTTCAAACCTTTGGTTATGTCGTGTTTGGTATTGTCCCTGTGGATGAAACAGGTCACACAAGCAACTACAGGTTCAAAACACTCCACCTCCTGGTAGGAGTTGCCAAGAATTTGTAGCCATTTTTACTTTTGCAATCTACCATGGGGTTGAAATTAATTTAAATATATTTAAAGGATATTCGTGTATTCAATCATAGTGCTATTATAGAGCCTGAAGACATTCACCGTGACCTGTACTTTTCAGCCAAAAACGAACTTTTATGGTGGAAATGGTTTAGAGGAGCAAAATAAAATTCGAGATTTATTAAGATTCCGCATGGGAGATGTATATTAGCTCTTGTTAACAAGGACATTTAATAGCTGTGGGCAATCAGGATGTGCCTATTTACAAATGCCACGTAATTGTCATTCCATTTGAGCATTAATAACACCTAAGGAAATGAATGAAAGGAAGTTCGATGACTCGTCCTATTTTAGCCAATATTGTATTGGACTCACAATGATTCAACTCTTAAATTGAAAAATTTACTAGAATGTTTATATCTAGTTGTATATGTGTATGAAGTGATAGGTGTTCCTATGTGGGTATCACCCTATTTTCATATGCACAAAGCAACCTGTTCTTCAGAAAGAAAATGAGTAGGCGTGTGTTACCCTTCAGCCTCCAGTCTGCTGCTTCTAATATCAACACGTAAATCTCATTACCAATTAAGCTGCCTGCATGAGAACCCATCAAATGCCTCCAAAGTGCTCTGGCTTCCTATATCTAATTACAAATTGCAGAGCACTAATTTCGGTGTCAATCAATCTGAGAACCAGTGTGTTGCATACTATTCACTGGGGGGCATTGAATATCAATTTCTGTGTCTGCCTGTAGCTTGGCCAGTTCCCTGTGCCCGGATTATCCATTTTGTCTAACATTTGTGTCTTCACCAGGAATGTGATTTTCTATTTTTTTTTTATTATTCTTATGTTAATCCCCATACATTACATCATTAGTTTTTGATGGAGTGTTCCATGATTCATTGTTTGTGCATAACACCCAGTGCTCCATGCAGAATGTGCCCTCCTCAATACCCACCACCAGGCCAACCCA